AAGCCATGATTTCTACACCGAGCACACTTCGGCCTCCTCTGTTTCAGCTCACCTTCTGTCTCTTCATTCTCCACTTTTTTACTCTTTCCACGCAACATAATCATCCACTAACAATGATTCACAGATTCATTCATTTTAATTTATCTAACAATTTTATTGGTACAAAAGATAAATCTTTCTGATTAATAAAATATTAATAGTGGTCAACATTTTTATTTCTTTTAATTCACCAATAATGAATGAAACTGATAAAAAGAATAAATAAATAAGTAAAATTTTACTGACACAAAAAATATTTGTTTTTTTTTTTTTTTTATTAATCATCCACTAATAATGATGATAACGATTCACAGATTTATTTGTTTCAATTTATCTAAACAGAAATGGAATATAATAAATGAAAAATTAACTGGAGACAGGACAATTGTTGATGGACGACTGAATGGAAAGCGAGCTGAAAGAATTTTCGTTCTAATCTTCAGCAACATTTGGATTTTTCCATGGTATCGCGCGATTGGCTCTGCACCATATACTTACACGTTATCGGACTTTGCAGTGATTCCAGCATCCCTCCGAAGGAACAACAAGATAAACATTCATAGGACCACCCTTTCTTCACGATTGGCCCGCCAATGTTTGTTCTCTTCCGCCACTCCTACCGGGTCACTTCTGGCTTCTGCGACTTTCTAAGTAGATCCACTGACACTTCCTTGGACATGGGTAGTAACGAAACGTCTCATTCTCCAAGGTAAAAATACCTTCTGGCTTTTATATACGGTGCATAAAATCATCCCTTAGCAATCGATCCAAAATACTACGATTTTAATCTCGATACAACTCTTTTACTCTTTTTCTTCTATTAATTAAATTTCAAAGCATGCATAGAAGTTGAAATTTTTAATGTTGATATTTTAATATTTTAAAAGAAATATAAATGTAAAAAAATTGAAATGAGAGATATTAATGATTCTTTTATATCTTTAATAAGTTTAAAAATTTAAATTTTCAATTTTCTAAAATTCTTTTAATATTTTTATTAACAATATGATTGATTTTATTAACGATAACGATTCGATCTTTGAGCGATGTAACAAAGTTAAAATAATAAATGGATAAAAAATTCATTAGAAATAATAAATAATGAATAATTGAAATAAAATCTGAAATGAAATCTATCATTCTGAAAATAAAAGAAAATAATGAAAATATATTTGAATTTTTTTTAAAAAATAAATCTGTATGTAATAAAAATTGTATATAAATAACAAAGATAAAATAATACTAATGACGATGTAACGAAAGAAAATGGCCAGGAGAGGAACTGGAGAGAGAATGTGGTTGTAGAGAAAAAATTTATCGTCAAGAATCAAGATTGTATAATTCGCAGTTTTATCTTTTTTTTTTTTTTTTTTTTCATTTTTTTCACGAGTACAGATTCGTAGCCGGTTAAACGACTTTGGAGTCTGAACATTAATAATAAACGAGCTGTCGCAACAATAAATCTATCATTCTCGATATCATACGTTTCATTTTCTTCATTTCTTCTTTGTTTCACTAAGTATTAAAACATTCTTTGTGCCATTCTAATCGCACTTCCCACGAATATATGGAATGTGCAGCCATGATATGTGATTCCTTCGTTTTTGTCGAATTACGACTGTCAAAGGTGGGAGAGTTTACCGATTAAATGTAGACTTCTCTATATCTCTTTTTTTTTTACGCTCGAGCTTTTTCTTTTTTCTTTTTTTTTTTTTTTTTTTTTTTTTTTATTATTTTTTATTTTCTTTCCCACCCACATTGCACTATAAATGTTATTTCTTTTTCAACCACATTTTTATTTTTTTTTTTTTTTTTTTTTTTTTAGTTTAACCTGAGTATATGTATATGGATATGATAAATTATTGATATGACTATTTGTTGATATGGTAAAACTTCGTTGATATTATTTTCAAATCAATCACAGACTTACATTATGTTGGTTTTTTTTTATTTTTTTAATTTTATTTCTCTTTTTCTCTTCCTCCCCCTCCTCCCCCCCACCTTCGATTCAACCATATTTTTTTATAATTCATTAAATATTCCTTCTCTCTTCGTTTACACTGAATTTTTGCAGGAAGCAAAGTGTGGACAAGCATTAGCTGTTTTTCACATGGTCATTGACATCCTTAATATCCTTTCTTCCCTTCTTTAAAAAAGTAACGAGAAGGTACGAATATGATATCAAGAGAGAATGCGTGTTTTAAAATCGATCGTATCACTTAACAACAAGCTTAAGCCTAAATAGGTAAATTCCTGTAAATAACGACAACGTATTTATTCTTTTCGAAATTTGGCACGAACGACCTCCCTCTCTTCTTCACATTCCAAAGATTTCGAAAAACTTCGATATTCGAAGACGAATTTTAATATCTTTTGTCTTTCTCTTTTTTTAATTTTCGACAATGATTATTAATTTATTTTAAGTGATAAACTCAGTCAATATCACACTAAAATATTTCCCCCTTCTCCATAAGTTCATTGAGATTAATCTATAGGAAAAATGATGAAGAAAAATCGAATAGATAAGTATTTCGGAATGGAACTCGAGTTATTTCGCACACAAATATGCATTTAATCTCTATATCATTATAAAAAAGAAATTGATAAAGTTATTAAAAATTTTTGGTTACTTTTTGTATACTATTTAAATTTTTATAACTTTAAATATAATTTTAATAGAATAATATTCCACTCGTATTTATATTTGCATGCTGCATTCATAATATATTCCCCATTATTTCCTATTTTTCATATAAAAATTTAATCAAATATTTTAATCGATTTGAAACTTATAGGTTTCTTATATATTATTTATATCTATAAATTTCTGTAATAAATGCATCTGATATTAATGTTATCTATACTTTTATAACTTTTTATCAAATCATTTAATCAAATTCAACTTCTATAAAATTGTTCTAATTCTTTTCGTCTTCGAATAATAACTTCGATTGGATTATGAAATATCAAGGTACATTGGACATTCATATAGACATAATAAAAAATAAAGCGTAATATCGTAAGAGATCCATCGTGATTTCTATGTTTCATGGTCGTGCGTGCCTTAGCAATCATAACACGATAAAAAATTGATGCTCTCAATTTATACGTGTACGTTATTCTGCTTGGCGCGTATAAACTTTTCAAAATCACAGAGTGCGCGATCGGCGCATGCGCAAACAAAAACGCGCACTCTTCGAACGAGGACATAGTACATATGCGATTTCACTGAAAAAAATCTTCGTTACAACATAATTGTTTATATCACCAGAAAGCTTCAAAATTAATCCTTTGAAAATCACGAATTTTATCAATTCGAAGTATAAAAAGAAGCATAATTTCGCAATTTCTCGATAAAATTGTTCTACAAAATTGTTCATCAATATTCGTAAAAGGAGCACTGATTTCCAGTGCAGATAGAAAATTGTATTGTGAATCTTCGATAAGATAAAAATGTAATTTTAAATATTAATCGTGATTAAAAAAGGATTAAATTAAAAATTATGATTGCAAATTCTTACAAATAATATAAAAAGAATAAAAATTGATCTACGATTACGCGGAAGAAGCTCACAATTTTTATAAATTACATCAATTATGTATGGCCCCGAAAAAATCATAGAATATGATTTACCGATTTTTAATTCGCATGTGTGTGCATGTGTGTTTTCTTCGTTTTTCCTCCTCCTAATTTATCTTCTTTTTTCTCATCTTTTAGCTTGCTGAGGGTCGATTTCATAAGGTCAGATTCGCCTTTGACTAAACTCTATTTAACCTTGTATCTAAATATAACAGTGAACATATATATGTATACATACATTCACATATAGATGAGCTAATGCATGTATGCACATATGCATATATGCATCATGTCATCAAGAAATTAAAGCAACACTGAACAAATTTTTCCCATCTTTTCAACTATGTACAATATTAAAAAAAAAAAAAAATTTAATATAGTTGAATAATAATTGAATTTAAATTAATTCCGCTTTTCTTTATTTATAAGTTATAAAATTAGATTTGTGCTATAATGTAAATCTTGAAATATAAGTGAATTGACGTGAAACCGCCCTCGTTTCTAAAATGGTGCACTCACGTATATGCTCGTATGCTCAAGATACAATATAAGATATATGTATCCCTTTCGTGAAATAACCGTTAGTAATAATAATGATCATAGTAATGACACTGATAGTTTGTCTATTGTAATATCGACGGGATAATATTCGCTTTCATTAATCCCAATAATATGTCGGACTGAGTCGAGAATACACTGTTCGTCCTTTAAAGCTATGATTGAACATATGGGCACGAGTAGACAAGAAAATTGACTGCGTAAAAAGTGGCTGGAATCATTATTCGTTGATGTTCACAGAAAGCGAGCAACGCAGATATTCTAATGGTCAAATTAGAATTTACATTTTCATCCACTCGTGTCTCCATTGAATTACTTAAACAAAAGAAAGTTTTACAATACAATACAATATAATACAATAGAGACGGCATCGAATAAGAATTAAATACAAAGAAAATTGTAATAATGGCTCCAACAAAATCGAGGTGGAGTCTGAGCAAATTTTTCAAATTGATAGATTAATAGAATTCATTCTATTCTTCTGTAAAAAAAAAAAAAAGTTTATTATAAAATATACTATTAAGTTAAATTTTGTATACACGTGTATACATATATATATATATATATATAGGTATTAGGGATAAATATTCTTCATCGACCATTATATTTTCTGATAGTATTTCATAATATCAAAATACAAATTCAAAAACACTAGTTCTAAGATTAGAAAACTTTTGAAGTCTAACTAAATCTCAACTATAATCTAAACTAAACATAGATTCAAATATTACCAAAATTAGAATCTAATCCAATTTTAAAAATCTAATTTAAATTTTTTAATGTCACTTATTTTCAAATTCGATGTTATATCTATGAATACTTCCTATATATTCTAAACCGAAGATTTTTTTCAAACTTTCTATTTTTTTTTATTCATCAAATATTATCAATAGAAATTGAATTTAAAAATCATTGTGCCTTCGTGTTTTATATTAATGATACGTATAATAATTCTGAAAGTCTGATATTGAAAATTTTGCCCAAACCTAATCTAGGTACCTCTTTTATAACAATAAACGCGAGTAGCAAGATGAACAAAACTCGAGTCGAGGAACAAACGAGCTCTTCGCGGCGAGTCCCTTTAATTAACGTTTCCTCGCAAACACTAACAAACCTACGTCTGTATATAACATACAGGAGGAAAACACTAAAATATGAGTCAACACGGAAAACGCGTGATGCCTAATGAACCTTGTACGTGTACATGTAAATACATAAACTTCTCTGTTCATCTCTGTGTATTTGTGTGTGCGTGTGCGTGTGTGTGTGTATTTGTGTATATGTTTATATCAACGTGACGTAATAAATCCTAATTAGCATCGTTACAAAAACCTTACAACTATTCAACAAAAACCAATCTTGTAACAACTTTTATCTAATTTTGTTGTTTCTTGTTCGCATGTTCCCCCTTATGCTATATTCCTAGCTGAAGAAACTTGTGCGACACCGGTCCCAAAATTAATGATCGCAGTAGTCTCAGACAGCGATTTTGAAAGATTTTCGTGAAAGAGCATATTATTTTTTGAATCATATTCAGTATATCTCTTATATATTCATTATTACAATTTTGTATCGGTTACTCTTTCAGGAAAAATCCATTTTGTTTCATTGGGCATGTAAAATCGTTTTTTGTTGTTGGTTCTTAATATAAAGATCGGTTATTGCCGGTTCAAACAATCACGCCTCTTGCATAGTAAACTCGACATAGCCAAACGGGTGAAAGCCAAAATGTAACGAGCTTACTAGTATAAAATAATCGCCTTTTTTTATATGACGATTTGTGAATCATGATTCATATATGACGGATATTCATCATACACTTATGAAAATATTCAAACGATGATTCTCGTAAAATTCAGATTCAGATTTCGCGTATCCTCGATTGATTTGCCGCCGCTGATTTTTTTTCGAAGTGTAGTTAAAATAATTAAAAAATCGCTTATTACGTAGTAAATTGAATAAGGATAATGCTGCGAAATTAAATATTGCATCGGATGAGTCTCCATACGTTTGAATGCGTATTATACATGAATCGCGATTCACAAATCACTGCATGAAAGAATGATGAGATGCATATTGTATATATGTGAATCGCGAATCCCATGTAAAAAAACGCGTATTTATCGTTGGTCTTGTGAAATCTAGGAGACCAAGTACATTACTCTGTATCAAAATTGAAAAAAATTGTCGATGGAGTAACGTTTCGTTAGAAAGAGACTAAAAATAATATTTCGAATCGACTGTCGTATGAACAATCGATTTGTCTCTTACGAACATAACATTACAATATACAATCATTTGAAGAGAATTCGAAACGTTTCAAAAAATTACTTTTTTAGCGCAAGAATAAATTTTTTAATGAACAAAGAGTATTTTAGACATACCCTGTACGACACGTAGCCTTCTAGGATATCTATCATTCCTTTTATTAACACAAATCTAACCTATATTAATTACTGGTCGTGTCGAGACTACCGTGGCCGATGTTATGCCGGGTCAAAAGAATGACAACAACGACGACTTGTTACTTTTGTCATTTTTTTTAGCTTCTTGTCGCCTGAAAATGCGATGTATTGCAACTTCTTATTCTTCTTGTTCCACTTTCGGCTCGTTACATCACGCAGCATTTCTCCTTCAGACTGATCGCGTTGTTACTTTGTACAGGCTGTAACGATACTGATCTATTTTTTTCGAGCATCAATAGATCCCGGAACAAGGCGTTCACGTTATGATTCGTCTTGGCAGATGTTTCCAAAAAACCACAACCCCAATTCGCGGCTTCTGCTGCACCCTCGCTCATCGATACTTCACGCACTGATGGACTCTCATCACATTTGTTTCCAACCTGTTAAATAATTAAAAGAATCGAATCGAAAAATCAAATCATAAATTTGTTATTTTTTTTATTTATAATTAAAAAATAAAATTTATATAAAAAATTATTAAAATTCTTTCGAATAGTTTTTATTATTATATCATTTATATTATTAAAAAATTTAATAATATTAATAATATATATATTATCGCTCTCTTCGTCGATCTTAATAGCATCAAAATTTTTTTTGAATAATTCGAAAATTAAAGTAAAATAAGTTTAAAGAAAACAACTAAAAGAAGTTTTTTACAATATATTTGAAAGTCATTAAGATTATCGATAGAAAATAATTAATTGATAAGAACATCGATATTTTTTATAATAAATTTTTATATTTTCTTTGTAATATTTCCGATGTATATCGATGAAAGATTTTTTAAACTTAAAAATCTCTACGTATCAATTGAAAATTCATGTTAAAAAATAGGTCTTACCAACATTATAGGTATCTGTGATATATCCTGCCCTTTAAGTTCTCTAATAATGGCCCAGATTGGTCGTAATTCCTCGAGGCTTTGCCGTGAGCACACCGAATATACGAGGATGAAGGCATGACCTTTACTTATAGAAAGCCGCTGCATCGCGGGAAACTGATGAGACCCCGTTGTGTCGGTAATTTGAAGCGTGCATATATTTTTATTGCAGCTTATCACCTGAAATATCGTATCATAATCGTCCCATTTCATTATTTATTTATCCTTTGTCACGCTTCTCGTCGCATACACAGCACAGGTCTCAACAATTTCACCAACGAAGCTTTTATACTTTTTCTCTTTTCAAAACTTCTTCAGTAATTCCAATGTGCTTGAAACTAATATTGCAAGAATTGATTAGAAAATAATTTAAATCTATTACAATTTCGATCGATATCAGCGAAAAATCAATTGAACGAAACTGTCGATAAATTGAATTATTGACTAATCGAACGATTATGCAATTCCAATTACTGCGCAATCTATAATATTTTTGTTAAAGTTGATAAAAACAAATTTTAATTAATATTTATGATATACAACATAGAGTAAAATGAAAATGTATAAGCTAAAAGTATTCTTTATATTCTTAAATATTTACGAAGAAAAATATTGTTAATTATTAAACAATAAAAAGATATTCAAATTAAAAATATTCAAATATCAATTAAAAATATTTAAACATTAAAAACATATATATTTAAATAAATATATATGTTGAATAAAAGAAACAAAAAGAATTGAAAGAGAAAACTCGATTACTTAATTGCGATTCAATTTCATGTAAATTTTATTATAATTACAGAATAAGATAATAATTTGAAAATGAGCGATTAAATTAGAACAATAATCTTGCATCATGTATGAATCATCAACGAAGCGTCAGCAATTTACGTCACGAAAATCCCTGTTATTTATCTGATCTAAAAAATTTATTATCATATACGATATATATTTATTACTTGCCTATCCAATCTAATTCTATTTCGGTTAAAAATTCTACATAATTACTTTGAAACATAGGATTACAAAATCAATTTAAATGAGAAATCCAAAAATTGTCATATAAAATGTATTGAAATTAGGAATCAAAACAATTTTCTATTTTAAAAAAAATAATAAACTTTGTTTATAGTGGTATTCTAGAAATAATTAATTAATTAAAAATAAAATTCGCATGCAAGTATAATCACATTGATCTCGCATCTATAAATATTAGATACTATAAATATTAGAACGTAATTTTTTTGAAAATGAAATATATGACAAAAATTCATTTTATATTTGTAAAATTATATAAAAAAAATTGGTAAATTTGTAATTTTTTTATAATCTTTAATTTTATATATATATATATATATATAAAATATATATAATGACATATATTTTTTTTACACATAATAGTAAAGTATATTTGATAAAAAAAAAATAATAAATTTAAAATTTTTTTTATAAATCTTTATGCAAGAGTTTATGCAAAAGTTCATTATACAAAGTACTATAGTATATCTATAGGATTTATGTTTTTTTTTTTTAGATTTACCTGTCTATATGTATCCTCGATGGTAGGTATATAAGATTCACGAAAGGTTCCTTTCACGAAACGCAATACGAGAGAACTCTTGCCAACACCACCCGCTCCAAACACCACCACGCGGTAATCATTGCTCTGCTCTGGCATTCTGACATCTGCCGTCCCGATGATGTTAACCCCCGCTAACCGGGGTCTCTTCAGTATAAATTTATCTGTCATGCATAACGTACAAAAACGAAATTGACTTGAAAATCCATGGATTTTGCATAAAAGTTGCAACAACCCTCCGCCATTCTATAGTTCTCTTATTTTTTTTTTTTTTTTTTTTTTTACACCTCTGCTGATTATTTACATTGATTAATATATTTTTTTTATTCGATTTCCATGAGAATGTGATGATTACCAATTGATTGTATAAAGCAAATTATTTTGGACAACAATAAAATTATCATAATAATAAATCTTTAATTGACGTCAATTTAATAAATTCAAAAAATTTAATGTCAAATTATTGATTTACATTCTTTTTTTATCTTTATAATTTGTTAATATAATATTTAACTTTTATAATAAATATATATTATTATCATTTTCTTAATATTGTGATGTTTGATCGCTGAAAAAAACCGACGACTTGATATAAATGCCACTTCATAATCCTCTTATAACCCGTAATCATCCCTCTACATGTGTATATATTCAACAAGTGATGTTTGAGACTCGAGACTCTTGTCATCGTTATCAAACAAGATTTTCACTAGAATATTCACATAGAGATCAATGATTATAGTATTATAAACCAATTTAAGAAACTTGTATCAATATTTCTTAATTGTTATCATTTCCATCATTTGATCATTTCCAAAATTGTTTAAAAAAAATTAAATAAAAATTAAATAATCAGTATAAACACATGACAGAGGTATATTCTGAAAATATACGTAACCGATTACTGAACCACGACCACGGTTAAATGTCGACGCGTCACGCATTAGATGATAAGATCTCGATCGTATTGACCCGATGATGCGGAAGGTCTGCAGATAATAAAGTATTTGATGAACCTTGTATAGCAGACGACACTGTCGTGCGCTTTTTTTTCTTCAAGTCACTTAGATCTCTGGTAAACTATACTATTCCTAGAAAAAATGTTAATTTTCTTGATGCACTTCTCAATTTTTCTTTTTTAATTTAAAAAATAATGATAAAAACCGCGTTCAAATGTGATTCTTGTTAAAATATAAAAAATCTTCTTCCACTCCAAAGGAAGAAGCAACGTGAATCCTTTCAAAAATCAGGATAATAACAATTGGCTTGAGAATGTTCGTCTCGTGTCAATGTTCGGATAATTACTATCTAATATCCAATATTTTAACCACGATTGTTGATTACCAAATAATCGATTGACAAATATTACGTTCGATTTTCAATGGCCACAGAATAAGCATATTCGTAGCACTCTATCTTCGGCTGCTCGCTGCTGTAAACTTTCACGATCTCAAAGGAAAACGAAACGCACGCCCTCCGCACCGGGACTCACCCTACTCCGCCAGTTGAATGTGTGTATGTGCGTTAGGTACGTGCGCACTATGCCAAAAGTACCGCGGAAAATCAATAGCATATTCGTGTATTTGTGAACATGCACGTGCATCATTGACTATGCGTTTTCAATCTTTCTTGTTTTTACAGAACATTTTAGAATAGTTTTTCCTTGACTTTTTGCTGAAATATATGCTGGATTCATTTTGAACAGGAATGGTAAGCCTAATGTCAGATGCATTAAAATTCTTAAAATTCTACATGCATGATCCAAAAAAGATTTTAACAAGGGATATTAATTTAAAAGTTATAAGAGAAATATTATAAAGAAATAGAAGATACAGATATTCTTATATATCATTTTTTATATTCTAATTATTATAATTGTAATGTATAATGCTAATAAAATTGAAAATAAATATAAGTATACAGCTTGGTGAAAAATTGATAGTAAAGTTCTTGCATAGCACAGCCATAAAGTTCTTATAAAAATAATATAATCACTAACGATATAATTATTTAACTGATTTCATTTTTGAACTTCAAGTTTCTTTCAGTAATGGATTTTTTATGATGACATCGCTTCCTTCATTTTCTATGGATTCATATGTCCACTTACGATTATTCCTAATAAAAAACTTATTTTTAACATTTAAAAAATAATGTAATTTTTTAATATCATACCTGCATTCATGACCACACTTAAGAGAATTGCATTTAGGACAAGGAAAATGACATCCAGCACAATTTAAATTTAAACAATCACAAAGATCATCTCCTGTTTGAGTATAAACTCCATTTTCATCATACATAGCATGTCTTTTGTGACCTTGATACAATCGTCGATGAAGTTTTCGTTTTTCTCTTTCACTATGTTCCGGATCAAAGTTACGTAGAAATTTTTTTGTTACACTATCTACTCCTTTTTGTCGCGATCCTCGTGTACTTTTCTGTGATGGAAAATAATATAAGAATTCAGAAAAATTGAAATTTATGATAGTATATCAAAAACTTACTCGTTCAGCACGTGGAGGAGTCTCTAAAATTGGATGTAAATTTTCATTCGAATTTCCTGTATCCATATCTTATATTTAAGATTTGATATAAAGTTTTAATTATACATTTAATTATAAATTTTGATTAACATAACCTCCATTATATGAAATACTTATTATTAGTTTAAAAATCTAGTTTAAAATTCACATAATAATATATATATTAATATTTGAAAAGAAAGAAAAAATTACACAATATAATTAAAAAATTAATCGCATTTTTCTTTAATTAATTATTTCATGACAGATTAATGACTTATCAAAACAAATTGTCTTTTAATATCACATGTTTAATGTATCAGCGACATCCTGTGAAATTATTAGAAAATAATATTTTTTTCTTTATCTATTGTTGATATTCATTAATTTATCAGATGAAATTTAGGATAAATATAAAGATGGAAGTAGGATAAATATGAGAATTTGCACCATCTGTAAATAAAACTAATATATAGATAAGGAGAGTCAATAATAAAAGAAGAATAGAAATAGAATAAAAATTGACTATCAAGGCCATCTTTTGAATATCACAGATATTTTTTCAAAGAAAAAATAAGAGAGTAAGAATTATAAATTAGCGCCATCTCTTGAAAAATATCTTTCTACAATTACTTAAGAGATAAAATTAATTAATATTAATTATTTATCATATTACATTTTTATCATTTCTTTTTTAAAGTAGAAGATTAAATCTTAATTTAATAATAAAAAAATATTAAAATAAATATTAAATAAATATTAAAAAAATATATAAATATTATATTCTCAATTTTATAATATATTTCTGGATCATTTATATTTAAGATGACGATTTCGCAAAATATATCTCGTATAATATATTTTTATTAGATTCAAAAACTTAAAAAATATAGTTTTATTTTTGGGAATATAATATAGTAGTATTGTAAAGTACTGTACTGTACTTAAATTACCTTTATTATATGTTAGCTTTGAAAACATCAACTAAAACGGTAAGAAAATGAAAAATATTCTTGAAGCACGAAACAAAAAAATAAATTAAAATATTAAATATTAAAATATTAGTTCGTAGATATATTGATTGCTGATTACAGATAATTATTTCTGTATTCTTTCATAAAGAATGTTAGATGACACTTAATTCATACACGTGGTTAAAATTATAATCAAATAATACATATATACATACATATATATATATATATATATATATATGTATAAATAAAAACTAAATAAAATATGAAAATAATGATTGTAAAAATATATTAAAAAAAGAAATTATATAATATTTTAGTTGAAAAATTTTCACACAAATAAATATGGGAAAAAAAAAATATAATTGGAAAGCAAGAAATAATATAGAAGTTATAATTGATAATTCTGTGACTAAAAAGGTATTTCTATATATATAGTAATATAATATATTATCGAAAAAAACGAAAAAAAAAAATATTTAAAAAATCTTTTTTAGATTCCCATAGATATTATACATCGTGAAGATAATTTTGATAGTTGTAATGCATTAGTTCTCCCAAATGAAAAGAGGAAGACTAAAAAGAAAATTAAAAATACTGTTATTACTCGATTATTATCTAAAAAACGTAGAAAACAATTAGAAAAAGTTATAGAAAAGAAGAAAAAGAAATTACAAGTAAGTTATTGAGCATAAAATTTGTTTTTATATTATTTTTTTATTTTTATTTTTTATATTATTTTATTATTTTTATTTTATTTTTTTACTTTAACAGAGAACAGAACTTCTAAAAGAATTAGTAGAAGTACAAGCATCACCAGAAGAACTAAAACAATATGTATCTTTGACAAGTGTACAAACTAAAGGATTAAAACGTCATTTTAGAGAAGCAGAATTATCTGTTAAAGAATATAAAATTGATTCGAATATTAAAAATAAAAATGATACAATAGAAATGCCTATAAATGCTATTAGAGCTAGCAAGAAAAAAAGATTAGCTATTTTAGAAAAAGAAGTAATTGAAAAAACAATTTCAGATCTAAATGTTATTGGATTTGATGTAAGTTAATAACCATCTAATAAATCAAATATTAATATAATTGTTAATGTAATTTGTTATAGGAATCTAGTAATAGCGAATTAGAATCAGATACAAAAAATAATGAAGATGAGCAAAAAGAAGATGCAACAAATATTGTGTCTTTAGAAAAAAATAAAATAAAGGAAAAAAATGAGCATATTTCAAATAAAAAAAATGATCTCATAGACGGAAATGTAACAAAAAATACTATAGAAGAAGAAAAAAAATCAATAGTCACTTTAACTAAAAAATCCTTAAAGCCACAACAACTGATAGAAAAAAAGTCTGCTCTGTTTGTAATGCTGCAAAGGAAACCAGAAATTCAAGCAGCTAGATTAAAATTACCAATAGTAGCAGAAGAACAAATTATAATGGAAGTAATTAATGAAAATCCTGTTGTAATAATCACAGGTGAAACAGGCAGTGGTAAAACTACGCAAGTTCCACAATTTCTCTATGAAGCTGGCTATGCTCAAGAAAAGTTAATTGGAATTACAGAACCAAGAAGAGTAGCAGCTATATCTATGAGTAAACGTGTTGCTCAAGAAATGAATCTTAGTGAAAAAGAAGTTTCTTACTTGATTCGTTTTGAAGGAAATGTTACACCTGAAACAAAAATCAAGTTTATGACTGATGGTGTATTATTAAAGGAAATACAAAATGTATGGAATTATTTAAAAAAATTAAATAGAATCCTTTGGAATAATTATAATCAGAATTTTTAATATTTTAGGATTTTTTACTGACGAAATATTCGATAATTATTCTAGATGAAGCACATGAACGTAGTGTATATACTGATATTTTGATAGGATTGTTATCACGAATTGTACCACTACGGAATAAAAGAAAAAATTCTTTGAAACTTGTAATTATGTCAGCTACATTACGTGTAGAAGAATTTGTAGAAAATAACAAATTATTTAAAATGAAACCACCCGTATTAACAGTGGAATCAAGACAATTTCCTGTTACAATACATTTTAATAAAACGACAAGCATTAATTATATTTCTGATGCTTTAAAAAAAGCTATAAAAATACATACTCGACTTCCTGATGGTGGAATTTTAATATTTTTGACGGGTATATTCTTTAAAATTTCAAATTATTTATAAATCTTATAATATATTTTTTTTAAAAATATATATCATTAATTTAGGACAACGAGAGGTAAATTTCGTAGTACGAAAATTGCGTCAAGCTTTTTCTACAAGAAATAAGAAAGAAATTACAAAAAAGATAGAAAAATCAGAAAATAAAGATTTTTCAAAAAAGAAAGAAGATATTCAAGACAAAAATGATAATAATAAAAACGATAATATTGATAGTGATAATGATTTTTGTTACAAAAAAGCTATTCGTTATAACAAATTACGTCAAAAAAAACACATTCAACTACCAAACATTAATCTGGATGAGTAATAAAACATATTTATTTTTTTATATGATTAATTACTACATATTATATAACTTTTTTCCCAATTATCTTATAATCATACACTAATTTTTAGTTATTCTGTAATTCCTATTGATGATACATACGAAGATTTAATTGCTGCAGAAGATGATGAAGAAGAACAATTAGACGAAAGTGAAGATGAAGATATGATTAATCCAAAGATTTGCATAAATGCACAACCATTATGGGTTTTACCATTGTATTCTTTGCTTCCAAGTCATAAACAAGCAAGAGTAATTTAAAAGTTCAAAAATATTACAATTCATAAAAATAGTAATTGAGAATTTAACAAGAATTAAACAATTTTTATCTTTAGGTATTTGAGCCACCTCCAGAAGGTCATCGTTTATGTGTGGTATCCACAAATGTAGCAGAAACTTCCTTAACTATACCTAATATAAAATATGTAATAGATTGTGGACGTTGTAAAATAAAGATGTATGATAAAGTAACTGGTGTTAATACATATAAAGTCTACTATACCAGTAAGGCATCTGCTAATCAACGGGCAGGAAGAGCTGGTAGAACTGGTCCTGGACATTGTTATAGGTATTTATTTATTTTGAAATATTAGTTCATAATTAGAAAATATAATTTCTTTATTAATAAATATTAATTGCAGGTTATATTCTTCAGCAATGTTTAATGATCATTTTGAACAGTTTAGCCAATCAGAGATTCAAAGAAAACCTGTAGATGATTTAATTTTACAAATGAAAATCATGAATATTGATAAGGTTGTGAATTTTCCTTTTCCAACGCCACCAGATGCTACACAATTAAAAATGGCTGAAAAAAGACTAATAATACTTGGAATTTTAGAACAGCCAGCTATTGAAAAAAAAGGTATAGTTATAATCCTTTATTAACAAAATATAATCTATTATTTATCCATTGTAATTACTCTTTATTTAGATTTATATAGTGCTAAAGTAACATCACTTGGTCGCAGTATAGCTGCATTTCCTGTTGCTCCTCGTTACGGAAAGATGTTAGCTTTGTCCCATCAACATAATCTTCTTCAATACACAGTGTGTATGGTGGCTGCGCTTTCTGTTCAAGAGATATTTATGGAAACATTTGATATAGATGTTGATTCTCGGAATAAATGGTTACAAATAAAACGTTTTTGGGCTGGTACCGGCAATAGTTTACTTCTTGGTACATGATTTAAATTTTTTAAAAATTATGATAATAAGATGTAAATATATTAATTAATTAAATATAATATTCTATGGAAAAGGTGATCTGATGGTTTTAATCAGAGCTGTAGGAAGTGCAGAATATGCAGGAACTAAAGGAAAATTATTTTCTTTTTGTGAAGAGCATGGTTTACGACATAAGGCGATTGTGGAAATTCGAAAACTCCGACAGCAACTAACAAATGAAATTAATTTGAATATTCAAGATTTAAATCTCATCATTGATCCACAGTATGTACAATAAAAAATAAATAGTAAATAATAAGAACTGAAGAAAAAAATGAGGAAACATCTACAGAGAATTCAAATTCTCAGAAAATCGGGATTCTATATATATATTCTTGTTTTTCATTACTTTTTTAGTGCTTAATTATTTTTATTTACATTATTAAAAAATTTATTTCTATGATTTTGAATTTTAATTCAGGATGAAACCTCCAGTTGATATGGAAGCCAAACTTCTCAGGCAAATAGTTCTCGCAGGAATGGCTGATCAAGTGGCAAAAAAAGTGATGCCAGATGAGATTAATGAAGATCAAGATAAAACTAAATGGAAATATGCCTATAAGTAAGATATTAAATATTTTTTAATCATTTTAAATATATAATTAGATAATTTTTAGAACTGTAGATATGGAAGACCCAGTATTTCTACATTCCTCATGTGTTCTTCGAAAAATATGTCCTGAGTGGGTAGTTTATCAAGAAATATATGAAACAAATAAAATGTATATGCGTGGTGTCACAGCTATAGAATCAGAATGGCTTCCTAAATTTGCTCCTTCTCTATGTCAGCTTGGAGATCCTTTGACTAATCCACCACCAAGGTACACAAATCTATATTTTTTTTTTATAATAAAACATTTCCTTATACTATTTAATTTATGAAGGTATGATCCAGAAACTGGAAAAATAATGTGTAGTATAACAGGAACATTCGGAAGAGCAGGTTGGAAATTACCAATAATGAATATGGAATATCCATTATCCATAGATGGGGTTAAATGGTTTGCATGCTTTTTTTTAGAAGGAAAAGTATTTCCAAAATTAAAACAATTCGTTTCTTCATTATTATCAACTCCTCAAAGCATTACCAAAGCATGGGCTAAGTAAGATTTTAAATAGAGTTAAAATAAATAAAACAATTCAAAATTAATAATTTGACATGAAATTTTAGATTAATTCCGCGAACACAAGAAATGACACAACTATTATTATCTCATGGAATTATGTCAAAAGTACAATTATTAGAAACTTGGAAGGCAGATAGAAATTGTAAGTATATGTTTTTCGTACATAATAATAAATATGATCAAAATGATATTAAGAAATTATCGTTATAAATTTCAGTTCTTTTATCAGCTTATCAAAAATGGTTGCCAGAATCAATGCATGGACATATCATGATCATTTGGCCACCTATATGATAAATTTTATGCTAAATTATATATCCACAATTGTATATTGTATAAATACTTGAATTTTATAATATATAAATATTTAATATTTATTACAATTATCTATTTCAACAAAATTTTACTCAGTTTATTCAACGAAACTGCAATATTGCATATAATTTATGTTTAACTTAATTAGAAATTTTGCTTTGGTTTCGACAAATTATAATTTATACACATAGCGCTCTATGTTTTATTTAATTTCAATTAATATAACTATTTAATAAATTAGTATCTTAACCTAATATCTTATATAGTATATTAGTATTTATATACAATAAATTAGAATATATAAAGAAATATCTACTTATAGTGAAGTTAAAAACATAATGATAGAAAATATAATGAATATTTACAAAATATTTGCAGTTTCGCTATAAATGAAAATTGCGCAAGACATTGGTTATTCTAAACTCCATTATTCTATATAAAGTAATCTTCATTTAAAATCGCATTGGCAGTGCTATGATAGTAAACATTTCAATATTTGGAAATACTATTAGATTAGATCACTCTGTTTTTACTATTTTTTTTTCCTTCTTTTTGATCGGATTTTTTTTACAATCTCTATAAATATTATTTAGATCAAAAGCTGCCTTTATATTATCCTAAAAAATAATTCAAATTTTTTTATATACATATGTACATTCCAAAATTTAAAAATCTATTGTTACACATACCAAAGAAAAAAGAAATTTAATCAGTTTTCCTTTATGATCTGCATGTGGACGTCTTTCTATTTCTTTACCTTCTTTAAATAAAATTAAGGTAGGAAGCTGTTTGCTAGTACTAGCATCACTAATATGATATTTTAGCGCAGCATCTGGATATCTACCTATATCTACTTTTCCGAATTTCAAATTTTCTAAAGCATATCTATAAATTTATAAAATATTATTTTTAATATAATATTATATAATTATTCATAATATAAATGATTGATCATTACGAACTCTGCTGAAAGTTCAGAGAATATTGGTGCGAAGTTAACACAAGCTGGATTCCAAGCTGTATAGAATGCAACTAACCAAATGACTTTTGTATCACGGTAAAGTTCTTCTTGTAATCCATTTGCACCACGTAAATATGTTACCTTTTCTGGACCTTGATATGTTGGTTCAGGAAACATTAAACCGCATACTATAATTATTAAATTATATAATAATGTTTATTTGAAAATTATTATATCAAATAAATACTTACAAATGAATATAATAGCAAATATTATTCCCATACGAATATCTGCATAAAACCAAAGAATCAGATTTGCAACTTTAGTATATACAAAGCTGGATGATAAATAGCTTATCATAGTTACACTTCCAGTTTTTCGTGTTCTTATCATTATGACTATCATGAGAAAAAATAGTATTTCTGTTTCTCTCTAAAATAAAAATATATTTATATATTATAAAAATATATTCTATTCAAATAATTTAATAATATTTCTATTTTTATATTTAAATGACTTACTCCATCAAGTTCACATTCAGCTTGTGCGAATACATAATTACAAACAATTGGTATACGTTTGGAAATAATGTATGAAAGACTAAGTAAAATATTTATAAAATAGTAAGGCTTCAACAAAAGTCGCAAATCTTTTTTGAAAGGCATTTTCTTTTAAATGAATATGAGAGGGGTTATGTATACTGATTAGAATAACAGCAACTCCCAAATTTGGGAGAATACTTTTATCCTATTTTAATTTTAAATAAAAAGTGTTTTAATTGATATAAAAAATACTCTAAATAATTTGTTATAATTTAATTTCTTTTTCAGCAAAAATGTGTGACAATCTTAAACATCGATTATAAATTGCTTATGTCACGAATTCTTTCATGTTTAGTCAAACTTCAAATTATAATTTGAATTATTTCATAAATTTTATTTACTTATTATAATACAAAATTATAATAAAAAAAAATATAAATGGATCATGATTCACTTCAAAAAGTAAATGGTAAATTAATGTAATTCAAAAGAATGTAGAGAGAGAGAGAGAGAGAGAGAGAGAGAGAGAGAGAGAGAGAGAGAGAGAAAGAGAGAGAGAGAGAGAGAAGAATTTTTCTAATATTTATTTAATTAATATATTAAATTATATTTTTTACAGATATATCAAATGATTTAGATAAATTATTAATTATTAATAATATTCGAAAAAATAAATCAAATGAAATAATTATGATTATGATTAATATTAATTATTTGATAAGATAGAATTTATAATTGATCATAATATATACGTTCATTGAACTTGATATCTTGTTAAATTTTTCCACAAATCCGATAAGATTTGATATTGTAAGAAAATTTAATTATTAATTATTAATTATTTATTGTAATAATTGTTTATTATTTCTCATATTTCACATAAATTAATTATTATAAATTTACAATGAAAATAATTCATGTCATATTCATCTGTTTGTAAAGCTCATTAATTTTTATAGATTATCAAATCATTTCAGAAATATTATATCAAAACAAAACAAGTTTATACAATCTAACATCAGAGAGATATATCCCCTCTTTCTTTATGAACAAAGATCAAGTCTTAGTACTAATCAATAGCTAACTGAACTTCAAACATGAAGATCTTACTAACTATTTACTTGGTTGTATATGTTTCTTTAACACAGTATGAAGAAATTTTTGCTTTTAATAAGAGCATTCCTTTGGTAGTTATTACTTGGGATTATGAAAATGCTACACAAAGAGGTAATTGTTTGTATATTCAAAGAAATAATTTCATAAGACTATAATAATAATATAACAATTTTATTGATATGTGTTTATAATTTGTTTTAGCTTGGAATGTTTTAAATAATGAAGAGAGAAGTGCTCTGGATGCTATAGAAGAAAGTTGCAGTTTTTGTGAAGATCAGAGATGCAGAAAAACTGTAGGATATGGGGGTAGTCCAGATGAATCTGGAGAAACAACTTTAGATGCTCTTATTATGGATGGGTATATATATATATATATATATAAATAATATATTTATATATATATATATATATATATATATACCCATCCATAATATATTATTTATATATATATATATATATATACCCATTCATAATATATTTATATATAATAATAATATATATATAATATATATAATAATATATATATATTATATATATAATAATAATATATATATATAATATATATATATATATATAAAGTACTGTTTCTGATTTTATTATTATATTATTTGCTTAAAAATAGAGTAACAATGGATGTAGGTGGTGTAGGTTTGTTAAGAAATGTTAAGAATGCGATTTCAGTTGCCCGTAAGGTTTTACATAATACTAAACATTCTTTAATTGGTGGAGAACTAGCCACAAAATTTGCTATAGAAATGGGATTTAAAAAAGAATCTTTACAAACAGAAGAATCAAAGAAAATGTGGTTAGACTGGAAAGCAAATAAATGCCAGCCTAATTTTTGGAAGGTAAATTATTTTTATTACAGAAATTCTACATATATCTAATTATACATATATCTTCTCAGAATGTAAATCCGGATCCAACAAAGACTTGTGGACCATATCGTTCAAAAGACTTTATGGACAACAATTTGGAGGAACATTTATCATATATGACTGAAGAAAACCACGATACGATCGGAGTTATAGCTATAGATTCAAATGGGCATATAGCAGCTGGTACATCAACAAATGGTGCCAGAAATAAAATCCCTGGTCGCATTGGGGATTCCCCAATAGCAGGTGCAGGTGCATATGCTGATCAAGATGTTGGTGCGGCAGCTGGAACCGGCGAAGGAGATATCATGATGCGATTTTTACCAAGGTAAAAGAATTCAATGAATGATATAATTTTTTCTATTTTGCAGTTTTGTATCTAGGGATTTTTTTAGTTTTTTAGCTGTAGAGGAAATGCGCCGTGATGCTACTCCTACTGCAGCTGCAACCACAGCAATTAATAGAATCGCTAAACATTATCCTACATTCACTGGTGCAGTAATTGCATTAAATAAACATGGAGAATATGGAGCTGCATGCAATGGAATTACCCGTTTTGCATATTATGTGGCCAATCCTGAATTAGGAAAACCAACGATACATTATGCTACTTGTATAGATGCTAAATATCAAGTTTTTAATGCTAAAAACATTTAATGATTTTTTTGTAATTTTTTTGATTTCTGATGTTTATTAAGAGAAATTGATAATATTTTTTGGTACAAATTATTTTTGATTACAATAAAAGTTGAAAGTATGCAAAAATGAAATATTATTATTTTTTAAATAAAATTTTAATTTTTTTATATTTAATTTGCTCAAAAAAATTTAAATTTAAAATCATAATCTTTTTCCGTTAGATGTCAGTAACATTCAAGATTTCTGAAGAAGATTCACTTATGGAAAATATATTAATCTGAAAATTATTAGAGAGGGAATAAACAAAATTTAACGACGCCATCTATCCAATGATATGATATATTATATAATACTACTAAATAGTAGCTAGTAGATGGCATCGCGTTGTATCATTTCTCTAATAGGTTATTGTTTTCTTAAAGTTCTCCACTCTATTATTTTTAACTTTGTGATATTTGTTAATAAAGATATTCTATTGTGGTAATAGTAAGCTGTCAAAATATATTCAATTAAATGATAAATTCTTTTTTAAGTCAATATTGTAAATTTTAAAATATCAAGTATATGTAAGGTATATACTTATAATTTATAACATTAGTATTTTATTTAATTTTCAATTTCTTATAATAATTTTAATATTTAACAAATTAACCTCAATATTTTAGAACATTTATATACAATAACCAAAATGCCAGAAACAACGGAAGAAGATATGGGGATGTCTGTTCGTTTAACGAATGATGATTTCCGGAAACTATTGATGACACCAAGAGCATCTGTTCCATCTGCTACTCCAGCTTCTGTGCCTGGAACTGCTCGAGATGCTAATGCAAAAACTGCACAAACACCAAATATCAGTGGTGGCAGTCGTGCAGAATTACGAAGAAAAAAGAAAAGTTTTTATGCCAAATTAAAAAAACAGGAAGAAGATAAAATGGCAGAATTAGCAGAGAAATATAGAGATAGAGCTAGAGAACGTAGGGATGGTACAAATCAAGATTATCAAGCAGAAGATCCAATGAATAGTGCCAGTGCATATCGTGCAGTTGCACCAGATTTGAAATCAGGAATGGATGCAGCTGAACGTAGAAGACAAATGATTCAACAATCAAAATTCTTAGGTGGTGACATGGAACACACTCATTTAGTAAAAGGATTGGATTATGCTCTTCTTCAAAAAGTAAGAATCTGCAAAAAATTATGATTTAATTTGTAATGTAGAAATAGAAATAAATTTATAAGATAATATTTTATTTTACAGGTACGTAGTGAAATAGAAGCAAAAGAACATGAACAGGAACAAGAAATGGAAAAATTGGTTAAGCCAAAGGATAAAAAAGATAAAAAAGAAGGAGAAAAGAAAGATGATGAGATGCAGTTTAAAACTAAGATAGGACGTAATATTTATAGAACAATTATAACCATGAAATCTAAACAAATTGAAAGAAATGAATTATTTACTCCTGGCCGCATGGCTTATGTAATTGAATTAGATGACGAAAATACAGATGTAGATATACCGACTACTCTCATTAGAAGCAAGGCAGATGTACCCACTATAGATAATACTCCTACTTTAACAACAAATGATATCGTAATAAACAAACTGGCACAAATTTTATCTTATCTCCGTCAAGGTAATCGTCATGGTAAAAAAGGAAAGAAGTATAAAGATGGTAGATCAAGACCTGACGATATGAATGACATGGATATTGCTCCAAGACCGCAAGACGAAAGTATCTATGGAGATATTGGTGATTATGTTCCAACGATTAGTAAGAAAGATCCAAATCAACCGCGGGAAAAGAAAAAAGGTTCTTATTTTGATAAACCAGAGAATGGTTTGGATACGGATGATAAAGCAAATACTCCTCAATTGCCAAATATTGCATCTTCCAATTCAGATAATAATGCACCAAAAAAAGGTGCACTCCTTAATAAATTAGCTGCTGAACCAGAAGGATATGCAGAATGTTATCCAGGCTTGGATGAGATGCAAGATGCTATAGATGATTCGGATGATGAAGTAGATTACACCAAAATGGATCTTGGTAACAAAAAGGGTCCTATTGGCAGATGGGATTTTGATACACCTGAAGAATATAGTGAATATATGAATAATAAAGAAGCCTTACCAAAAGCAGCATTTCAATATGGTGTAAAAATGGCTGATGGAAGAAGAACAAGAAAATATAATAAAGAAAAAAATGAAAAAGCTGAATTAGATAGAGAATGGCAGAAAATTCAGAATATTATGAATAAAAGAAAACCCACGACAGTATTGGATGGTGCATCAGAATTCAAAGTTCCAAGATATTAAATATTCGATCTGTATAAATTTGTTTTCCTAATTAATTTTATTTCGTTAAAATAATAATATTATATGTATGTATAGTATATAATAGTATATAATCGATCTCGTTCGTGATTAAAACATGTACAAGATCAGGGATATAATAAAAGACTGTACAATATTTTTAAATCTGTTCTGATTTTCTGAAATTGCGTTGCTAATATTATAACCGAAAACTTACATTATTTTTTTATTCATCTTGACCCAGCTTTTGATCTAAACTGACTAAAACTAGTATGAAACTAGTCATGTAAACATCATATTGATAACCTATGACCAATTGATAGGGGGGAATCTTTCATTCAGATTCGTTCGAACCAGTTAAAACTTGTAATTTACTATAATAGATCTAATAAAAATTATTAATTCTTAATATGTTTAAATATTTAATAAATTATATTAAATATTTAATATTTAATAATTTATTAATTTATATTAAATATTTAATAATTTTCTCTATTTTCAATCAAGAATCTTCTTTGAAAATATAATTTATTTCTAATTAATTACATTCGATGCTAATTATGCATTGCATGTAATAAATAATTTGAATTTTTAAATATTTATTATTAATTCTATACATATATATATCCAAAATGAATATGCTTTTTATTCTAGATTATTATATGATGTATAAAATATAATATCATATCAGAATATGCTACATAATCCTAATAATTCCTGATTAATTTATGGTACATTCATATTTGATATTTTCGTTGATTGATAACGTACAACATTATTCTTAATTTATTGTAATTATTACTATACTATTCTATTGTTTTGTCCATATTTTCACATATCTGAAATTCATTAACGCATTATATTTTTTAAGGGATGCATCGGGAAATCCACGTAGCTGATAAAAATCAGAATAAAAATCAGAATAATATAGATAAATATACAGAAAAGTTAAAAAAAATTTCTTGACCCTGGTTACTGATACAGCCAGCTTATATAAACGTTACACGTTTTAGCGCGCTTCAGTTCGATAGTCACAAGTGTTGCTTAATCGTCGAATAACAGTCAGCGAAGTGAATGTATTTCTATACAATCGGAAAATCGAAGATATTAATTTTCTAATGCTGTTCCTGAAGAATTTCCTTTCAATACGCTCCTACGTCGTGAATACCGTAAGATAAAATGTTAAAATTTGTAAATACATATTGTAAAAAATATTGCTTTGTTATTCGAATAATTTAAACATAAATGGTAGAAATTAGAATAACGATTGGGTGATAGCATATTGGATACATTTGGTGATAGTAGATGATAATATATAATATATAATATATTTAATGCTAATAACATGGTCATTGTAGATAGAAATAGAAGAGTAATTCCATTTATTCTTCTCCCTATCTTGTAGCAACTTTTCCTTTGCACAGCTTCTTTACTATGTCTTCTCTTTGCAGTTCACTTGAAAGTACAGTGAAAGTTAGAAGAGATCGCGGAACAAATAGGTATGTATATTATATGCTGCATAATGTTTGCTATAACGGCATGATTAATATTTGGTATTGGGTCAATTGAAGAATAATAATAATATATATATATAGAAAGATTTATTAAAATGAGTATAGTGAGGTCATAAAGAATTGTTATGAATCCGTATATTTATTTAAAATTATTTATTTTTTTTTATTATCATATTTATTTCTGTTTATAATTATATATTTTTATATTTACTAATAATTTAACTATAATTAATTATATAATTAATTATATAATTAACTATAACCATTTTAATTTTTAAAAGTTTATGTCTTTACAATTATATCTTATGATCCTTATTACGCTTTTAATTTTTTAATTTTTTAATTTAATTATTTTATTTTAATATTTCATTATATTTCACTATACTCTTTCATAATAAAAAAACATTATTAAATATTAACAGAATAAAAATTAAAATATCTTGAGTATTTAGACGACAATGGCGCAACTTAAAGTGGCAATAATCGGTCAAAGCAACTTCGCAGCCGAGGTTTACAAACTTCTGAAACTGAATGGTCATCAGATCACAGGAGTCTTTACCATTCCTGACAAAGGGAATCGAGAAGATCCTCTGGGTAATTACAAAAATTATATATTGTACGAAAAATTTATATCGATCAACGAATATTATTAACATTTCGACATTTTATTTTTTACAGCTGTAACAGCAAAAATCGATAATACTCCAGTTTTTAAGATCAAGTCTTGGAGAAGCAAAGGAACGACCTTGCCGGAAGTGCTCCAGTTATATAAAGGAATCGAAGTTGATTTAAATGTTCTTCCATTCTGCAGTCAATTCATTCCCATGGAGGTCATCAATCATCCTCGTCATCGCAGTATATGTTATCATCCATCCTTATTACCAAGGCATAGAGGAGCTAGTGCTATTACCTGGTTAGTTCTTTTTAAATAATCATAATATGTAATATGTTACACGATTGAAATTACCTAATATAATATAGAAGAATGTTTATGGACTACTATGTGAATTCTTAATCGAATTCTTATCTTAGCAAAAGAGTACCACTGGCGGCAAGGAAGGGAAGGAGGAGTAATAAGACACTGTGAATTGAAACGCAAGCTTATCTTGAAACTGGTTCGACTCTGTTTTCGTGTGCAATCGAAATATATAATACATATTTATTCTTAGCTTTCTCGTTTAATGAATATGATGATAAGAAAACCGATAAATTTTCAAGAATCACTATGCAATCATTCTTTTCTGTAATTCAAGTTTATCATGCAAAAAATAATAATCTTCTTATGCTTTTTTTTTTTTTATTTTTCTTAGGACTCTGATAGAAGGAGATGACATTGCAGGTTTCTCCATTTTCTGGGCCGATGATGGTCTCGATACTGGACCAATCTTGCTCCAAAGATCATGCAAAGTAAACTCCAATGATACTTTGGATTCTTTGTACAATAACTTCCTGTATCCCGAAGGGATTAAGGCCATGGCAGAGGCTGTAAATCTTGTAGCTAAAGGAACTGCTCCTATGATTCCTCAAATGAAAGAGGGAGCCACTTACGATCCTATGATGAATAAAAAAGAACTTCAAAAAATAGACTGGACCAAGCCTGCAAAACAAGTTCATGATTTCATACGTGGTTTTGATAGCAGTCCAGGTGCCTGGACTATTATCAATGGTGAAGAAGTTCGTCTATTTGGTTCTATCTTATGGAATGGTGATCAGATACCCGAACACGAGATTGAAGTGAATGTAGAGGATAGATTGGGCATCATTCATAAAGATGGACTGTTAATTAAAGCTGTTGATAATCACTTTGTCAATGTGGAAAGAATGAAAATTGGAACTAGAACTATTCTTGCGAGCAAATTTGGTCAGAAGAGTGAAGATACCATAATTGAATTTACTGAAGAGGAACAAAAGATGATAGAATCCTTGAAGCGGATTTGGGAAGGTATTCTAAACATGGACGTTAATGAGGATACAGATTTCTTTGCCTGTGGTATGTGAAAGATATATCCAAAAACATATCTGATAAAAGAAAAATCATTGAAAAATTTAAAATATTTCTTCTACAGGTGCAGGAAGTATGGATGTTATAAGATTAGTAGAAGAGGTAAAGGATAATTTGGGAGTAACTTTGCAAAATATCGACGTCTTCATGGCTCCGGTGTTTATCCAGTTTGTAAATAAAGTAGTTTTAACAGCACGAGGTATTTCTACCTCTAAAGAAATCAAATACGATGTTGTGGAAGTGCAAGCGAACAATATGATTCTGAAATTCCCTAGACAATTATTTATTAATGGAGAATTTGTAAATGGCCACGGAAATCCTATAGACACAATTAATCCTCATGACGAAACAATTATTTGTTCTGTTGAAACCGGCACCGTGGAAGATGTGGATAAGGCAGTTAAGGCAGCCAAGAGAGCTTTCGAAGAAGGAGAATGGAGCAAAATCAGCGCCAGAGAGCGTGGAGCTCTTCTTTTCAAGTAAATATTTTCGATTGCAAATTTTTATTTATTTTAATTAATTCTGAATCAATAATTTTTCTTCAGATTAGCAGATCTAATGGAACAACATAAGGAAGAATTAGCAACCATAGAGAGCATAGATTCCGGTGCAGTATATACATTAGCCTTGAAGACCCATATAGGAATGTCCATCGAAACTTGGAGATACTTCGCTGGCTGGTGTGATAAAATTCAAGGCTCTACCATACCAATAACTCATGCCAGACCAAATCGTAATTTAACCTTCACTCGAAAAGAACCTATTGGTGTCTGTGGCCTGGTTACTCCTTGGAATTATCCTTTGATGATGCTTTCTTGGAAGATGGCAGCTTGCCTGGCAGCAGGCAATACTGTGGTAATGAAACCAGCACAAGCTTCACCTTTAACAGCTTTGAAATTTGCAGAATTAACTGCAAAAGCTGGTTTCCCACCTGGAGTGGTGAATATCGTACCAGGAAACGGAACTGAAACTGGAAATGCAATTTGTGAACATCTTCTAATCAGAAAACTAGGTTTCACTGGGTCTACGCAAATTGGACAGTCTATAATGAAATCTTGTGCAAATAGTAATTTGAAGAAAGTATCCCTAGAATTAGGTGGAAAAAGTCCCTTAGTTATTTTCGAAGATACTGATTTACAGCAAGCAATTAAAATTGCAATGAGCAGCGTGTTCTTCAACAAAGGAGAAAACTGCATAGCTGCTGGTATAATATTCAGAATATTAAATAAAACTCTTATTTAAAAAATGATTAATCTATTATTTATAAAAGAAAATCAAAATATTTATTCTTTTTAAATAGGTCGGCTATTTGTGGAAGAGACAATTCATGATGAATTCTTGAAAAGGATAGTGGAGGAGACTAAGAAGATTTCCATAGGAAATCCCCTAGATAGAAGCACAGCCCATGGACCACAGAACCATAAAGCTCATTTAAACAAACTTTTGAAATTTGTGGAACGTGGAGTTAAAGAAGGAGCTAAATTAATTTATGGTGGAAAAAGATTAGACCGTCCAGGATGGTATTTTGAGCCAACAATATTCACAGACGTGAAAGATGACATGTACATAGCTAAAGAGGAATCTTTTGGTCCCATCATGATTATTTCCAAATTCAGTTCGAAGAACGTAGATGACATGATT